GGAACAAATTAATTGGTGTTCTGAAACCACGGTACTTTGTGGTTCTTTGGACGTTAATTTGCATATTTGTCGAGAAATTTGTGCATTAAAAACGATCGTTTCAGTTTAGCGAGAGGAAATTTGATCGATTTAACGCTCGGGTAGTAAAGTTCGGATAACGAGCGATTATTGTAACACGTCGTGGAAGATGAATGACGGAACGTTATTACGTTACGTTAGTGACACGGAAAAAGTATATACGCAGAGTCTGCCTTCGCGTGTAAAAGTTGGAAAAATTAATGTCAATCGCCGAAAACTCTTATCCTTGAAAGTTCAATGATCGTGAATCACGAGGTAAAAGGCGGAACGTTTCGCGATCGGCGAACAGCGCAGCTTACGCTTGAATGGTTAATTTATCAATCGTCTAATCGCGTACCAATCGACAGGCAACGACGCTCGTTGCATTCTTTTCACTCGCTGAGCAAACGATCCGGCGCCGGACGTTCTTCTCGTCGAGGAGAAAGTCACACGACGTCCTCCGCGAGAGGAGAGCAGGAGATTACGAAACCTCGGGGGCAGAAAACGACGTCCTGTTCTCCCTAGAAATAAGTTCCGAGATTCCGACCACCGAATCTCGAGAATTCTCTCTTTCAGTTCTCTCTTCAGCGACGACGCTGAACTAGATCGATTAATCAGCGCGTCTCGATCGAGGCAATCGAGCTTCGTCGTCCTGCGCGCGTGTATGTATTCGTGCGTTGGAATTAGAAGGACAGCCAGTCTATTAATTTAACAGAAACAGAAGAAAAGAAAGGAGGATATGGATTATTATCATGATAGTTGATTCCTTACGATCAAAGTTCTATCTCATGCTGGCTGGTTTCGAGACAAACAATTCGTCAACGAGATCGTGCATCTTTGTTTTTTCTGACAGCAAGCTTGAACAATCGGGCACCAGATGTGCATATGTTAGAAAGAATTACTATTACTATATGCACAGGCAATATTCACGAGACGTGTTTTCTCGAAAAAAAAAAAAAAAAAAAAAAAACGCACGAGCTTTCCCTCTCCCTAAAACCTGTCTTTCTTCCTCTGAAACTGCGTTGCCCCTTTGCTCTCCGCGAAAGACCGGAAGGATAGAGCCGGCCACGGCGAAACGACGTCCTCCCGGGAAATGAAAGTGAAAGATTCTGCGTGCAAATTACGTCGACGCATCGCGCCGATGATCGACAGCCGATAGTGAGAAGTTGTACTCGCCAGGCTGTAGTAGACCAGTTACATCCTAGTT